GAAACGAGACAATTTACATTTAAAATAAGAAAAGAAATATTGCATTGTCTTATTTCAAGTGCATATTATCTAATTATCTTATTTTAAGGGTAAAAATTCTCATTCCATTGGCAAATAATCTTATTTAGCTGCTCAAATTAGGATTAAATACACTTAATTTAAGACATTATTACTTATTTCTGGATCGTTTTTGCAGTGCTGGGCTTAGATTACATTTGCAAGTTTTCAGCAGATCAAATAGTTTCAGCAGTGTCTCCCTTGACCTTTCTGGAGTGGTCGTAGGATGGAACAGTCTATATATGGACTCTCAGGGGGTCCCAGGATCTCCTAGGAAGCTCTCCCTGGCCTGAAAACACTGAGTTTACCACTTTGAGGTCTTTTTACAGTCCATGTTTATATTCCAGTCAGGGCTGATATTAATCTCACCAGAGCGATGCGCAGCAATGGATTAACCTGTAGGAGTAACAGTTAAGAGAGCAGCTTTTGATTCTTTATATTCCATCTACAGTACTGTACATCTGCAGCTGTTTGGTACTGATAGACATATAAAAAGTAATACCAATAGAAAAGGTCAGATTTTCCTTAATTTATAAGACTTTATGCTAACTTTTTGTACTGAGTGCTGTGTCTCGCTTCTTCGGGTGCAAGTTTTTCCTTCACTGAAGCTAAGACTACAAATCTGTCACACTTCTGGGGTAAAAAAAAAACAAAAAAACAACCCCAAAACAAACAGTTTGTGACAACTAAAAGTTTACTTCGGCAATCAACATTTTCTGCATGAGGATCTTTGTAAGAAAAGTGTTTGGTTTTTGCCTTCGGATAGAGTTACCTGAAGCAAAATGTTCCCTGTAAAAACAAAAAAACAAACAGCCTAAAGTATATACATTGAAGCAAAAGCACTAATACTATCTACTGATAGTTTGTCAAATTATACCCCCCCCCCAAAAAAAAAAACAAAAACAAAGAAAGAAAGACAAGGAAAACCATAGTAAAAAAATAAAATAAAAAGTTATGTTATACATAGTTAAATGTAACAGAAACTCCATGATTTGATTTTTTTGTTTTTGTTCTTGATAATGTAAGCCTGGTTGCTGATTTTATAAGCAACACTTCCCACTGGTGGACATTCCTTGAATTGCTTTTATTTTGCTGTGAAGCACCAGACATTCACCACGGAACTCTTGGACGGTCAATAGGTTTTCACATACTTTTTGTTTATTTTTTTTTATATGAGTTTAACAGTTTCACTTGTGCCACTGCAATGACAATGTTCTGTATTGTGCTTTTACAATTACAATGTGTGCATGCAAGCAATAGCATATTAGTAATAATTAGTACATTGTATCTGTTTTCTGAACATTTTAGATAAAAGTATGTAGTGAAATGCTCTAATTAATTAATTAAGCGTGTCAGACAGAACCTCCAAACGGAGAAAACAAACGTAATTTCTATATAAATAATTTATAGGCCTATAGAATTGTCAGATACGTTCTTGATTTTGCCTGCATCTGTCATAGTTAACTTCTTTCTTGTTATGAAATATTTGCTGAACAAAACTCCCCCGGTAGCCTTGTTTCCTTTTTTTTTGATTGCAAACCCAGGCGGTTTCTGATTATATACATATCTTTCGACGATGAGGATATATATTTACTGTAGCCTATGTCATAGTGTCAGACTTTTTAACATCTAACTTTACAAATGTGAACATAATACAAAAATCTCTTTGGCCATGGTGTTGCAGTGACGACTAGAGCTTCGGTCGTGTTAAATGAAATGTTACAAGCGTAATGATCTGCAAAAATCGCCTAAAAAGTTATACCCACTCACTGCCGAAACCCGGGATCGAACCAGGGACCTTTAGATCTTCAGTCTAACGCTCTCCCAACTGAGCTATTTCGGCTGTTGACGGCACTATGTACACGATTGTCACTATGTTCTTCCTACGTAGATGTTTAATAGTCTGGACACAAGATGGCGTTACACATCAGTAAGTCATCTCAAGGCAAGATAAAATGATGCTGTAAAAGGTTGTCGTATATAGCTCTGCAGACTGATTCTGTCTGTACAATACGAAAAAGTGTTAATTTAACCTGTAACTGGGAGTCATGGTCCTCTGAGAAGCCAAGATTGTTTTTTAACCAGTAAAAAAACTGTTTTCTCAAGCTTCTTGCGTTATAATACCAACTTGTTTAAACTTACAATATGTTGCCATTTTTAGCTGAAAAACCATACGTCTAACAAACCGATCTTTCCGTGGCATCTCTAATTTGTTTAGGAAAAATGGAGATCCAAGCAAAAAGCCCAGATCTACAGAATGATCAAGTCATTATGTTTGACCTTTCAGTACCAAACTGCTGTAAAACAGACTGTTGCTAGACATTTCTCTTGAGCTTCAGAACATACAGAGCCAGACTGGGTGAGAAGGCCTTCTAAGGTTCCCTGGTGTGAGCCACATGGAAAAGAAAGCCTGCCTTGCTGTCAGCCTGCCTGCCTGCTGAGCTCCTGCTGGATATACTCAAGCTTTCCAAATGGACATGGACAAAAGGTTTGCAGGTCTGGTGCAATAAGGGACAGAAAAAACAATATGTCGTTTGATGATTTTTTATCATTGCATGTGTTTACTGATGAATCATTAGACTAAATGTTATTGGTTCCTAATTAAGGAAATCGTTTAATAAAACATTATTTGGCCAAATAATATTTTATTCACCTCGTGGATTTGCATTGTGAATTGGTCTGAAAACATTCCAATTTCTCTAAATAAGTGAAAAGCTCATTTCCTCACATCCCAAATTCTTCCAGATAAACTTTGGTTCTCAAACACAAAATCAATCTTAAACTGTAATATGGTTTTCACCATGTTTCCCCTTCCTCTTTGAACATAGAAGATTAGTTTAGTTTAGTTGAGTTTCACTAGTTCTAGCTAAGAGTTTTAAACTGAAATATGTTTGACTTGGAGCTGAATGATTTTTGTAAATAAACTCTTATATGTTGAACAGAAGTCGTGGTGAATTTATTCTGTGCAGAATTAACTGTTTGATCAGGATTTGAGCTCGGATCACTCTTTCATTTATTGTTCTAACACACAGCTAGTAGGGTGTGTGTTCACAAACAATATATAACAACCCAAATAATATCTGATTAAAAAAGATATTTCCCACCCCTACCGAGGAGGGCAATAAACATCTTAAAGTATCAGAAATATAAATTCCCAGTTGGCTGGGAATTGAATATAACAGTTATTCACAAAATAAATATATCCAACCTGGATTGGCATTGAATATAAATACACAACACTATGTTCAGATAGAAATCATTCTGCATGCAAAAACCCCAAACAATTATTTCGTATTGGGGGTCGCCTAGTTGCCATGATGTCTTGAGCATTCACTTAAACCTTGGACTGTCCTGGGCAATATGTCCCTGAGCAATGTATCTAGTTAAGTTATCTAGCTAGTTTGTGGGTCAACTTTAGAATAACAGTAAATAAAAAGGTCCTCTGAGAAACTGTGCTTATTCTTGCCCTAAAACAAAGAGAAATAAAAAAAAAGTTAGGTCCTACTCTTAGAAATTCTGGAATTCAGATGATGGCTGAAAATTGCAGCAGATTTTGTACTCTTTGAACTAAAGGGTTTTATTGTATAGCCTTGGAAGACACCAAAATAGGCAGATGTTTTCACAAAAAAAAAAAAAAAAGATTGACAATGAATTACTTTCCACAGCTATGGAAAACACTAAACTGATAATATAATCTTTCTATTTGCATTTGCTTTTTTTTTTCTCTCTAGCTGTGTTGCATTGATGCAGTGCCTTCCTTTTATTAGTCATATGATGTCTTTGTGCCAGCTTCTATGCCTCTCTTCTCTTTGCTATTTTCCCCAGTAATCTCCCCTCCATATTGCCTCATTCTCTTGCTCACATTTCTGTTCCTGTTGTCACCCCCCCTCCAAGGTGACTTTCCTTCCTTCACAGACACTGCAGCTATCTTCACTTTTTGTTCTGGAAGGCCTGAGTATGGATAAAAGATGAGAGAGAGGCAGAGCAGCAGCAGAAAGAGAGGGAGGGCCAAGAGAAGGGACTCATAATATAAAAGAGAGGGAGAAGATCTGATGAGACTATCAAGCAGGTTGGAAGGATCGACAGCTTTAACCATCCACTATAAGTACCTTTACTATAAGTAAAGAACAACAATTGTACGCACATATGCAACGCATGTGACACTATATTTCTCCCAATCAAAAGCTGCAACCACAGATGGTCACCTTACTAACATGTTTCATCTTTATTACTGGTGATTAGCACAGTTGTCACACAACCGTGTGTCATAGTGAGGGTTTTTCTTCAGTCAGCACTAAAATGTTTCACTTATCTGGGACAGTTTCTAAATTTAGGGTTCAGAGAAAATGGAGTAATAAAAAAGAGGGATGCCTGAATAAAGATTTAACATTATAAAACAGTGTCATATTTCTTTTTATTGCCTTTCCTTTTTTTCATTCATCTTTTTTTTTTTTGCTAATTTGTGATTTATTAAGTTTGTAGTTTTTGTTGTTCCAGACCTGACTTTTCTTCAGTAGGAAATCTCTGTTATAATACCTTTCCAATCAACCATGTGTCGATGCTTATCCACTTGGAGGTCTCTTTGCACCTGACAAGCAGTGGAATTAAGTAATCATGTTCTTCACAAATAATCTACTGTAAGAAAAAAAATTAACATAGTGTCAGTCAGCAGAAACTTAGGCTGCAGTTAAAAGCTCACTGAAGTGATATACAGTAATAGATCAAAAAGGCAAATTATCCCATGTGTCATGATATACACTTCAACATTCAGATGGAAGCGCCAGAATGTGTTGCAAGCAGCACAAAAAGGTTTCATAGATTTAAATATTGCACCTCAAGGCAAAGAGGCAGGAAATAGAGAATAATCTTTCATGTTAAATTACTAAAGTATTTCCCTTATAATAAAATCAATCACACACGGATAGACACAGTACACTGATATAGATGTTTTAATACAGATTTAATTTATTTCTATACAATAGCACATATTATAAATCTTCTACAATTCTAATAGTTCTCTATACATATGGTCATAAATGTAAATTACAGTGTATACACATACATTTTTAAAACAAATACTCTTACATGTTTCTATTTTATAACTCTCCTGCTTGATAAGAGTTTTTCACAATGGTTTTCTGTCCTGCAGATGATAGCTATCTAAGGAAAGGGGAATTCTGACAAAAACACAAAACAAACAGTTAAGTATTTACATCCCTGAAAATGTACATGAATACACAAGGGTCATTTTCTTCCAATTTGGCTCACAAGTCGTTTGTAAGAAGGGTGAGAATAATAAAGCCCAAGGCTAAAGGAAACTTTAAAGTCTTCAGTTCATAAAAAGTGAACTCTGGTGACACAAACTGTGACCTATTCTAACATCCATAACACAACAGTAGACTGAGGGCTGGTTGTTGTTGTTATTATTAGTCCTTTGTTGTTTCTTTTTTTTTTTGTCCAGAGAGTTGGAAAAATGAGACACGAAACCCTGAGGAGAAAAAGAGACTGTATTGTGTAACGTGTTCAGGTCTTAGTCCAGAGGCTGTTTTTGTATGTCATAATTGAAAATACTCTCCCACAGCTGCCATCCAGAGCAACTAAGAGATAACATGAGGAGCTGTCCCATGTTAGAGGTTGTTGGGGTTTTTTCTCATGTTTATGCCTCTAGTTAATCTGCACTGGCTTCAGACATTTTTAATGTTCATTTTTTACAAAATATTGCCCTTTAATTCCCTCTTTAAAACTGCAGTGATGCTATTATAGTAGTACTATAGTGAATTTTCATATACACATAGTAACAAAAACGCCCCACATATGTATTTATATAATTCTAATATCCAGCATCCTGCTGTTAAAATAAGCTTAAGTCCCTTTCTTTTTGTACTTTTCTAAAACCTTGATAAAAAAAAGAAAAAAAACCCAAAACATTCACTCTGTTCACATTCTAAGTGGGGACCATTGATTTGCTTGTGTTTTATTGCACATAATTATTGGCTAAAACACATACATGTCTTCATTTACACATCCTGCAAATGTGCAAACATACTGACACGATCACACAACCTGTTTTCACTATAACGTTTGGAACTCATGTTAAAAAACAGAAACATGCCTCTCAGCTGGACCTGTACACATTTTCCTTAAAAAGTTGCAAAGTAAGAATTAAAGTAGAGGTCAATCATATCTTTCTTTGTTTTTTCCTTTTGTTTTTGCTTTTTCCTGGTAATTTTATGTAATTTTATGCATATGTAAACTTTTAATTTCTATGCTTTTAATTAACACTGAGGCATATCATTATGACCAGCATGGGCACACTGACAGCTATGTATGCTTTTTGTAACAGAGTCAACATGAACTCCTTCAACAATTTGAGCAACACTCCTCATTTACACCATTAAGCCATGGAGGCCATTATCCTTTATCCGGTGCACTACTGACACCTCTTTAAAGAGATTTTTTTTTTTTTTTTCCCCTTACCATGTCATTGATTATAATCAGACATCAGATGGAGAGAAGGTGAAATATAGAACAACAACAAAAAAATAAAAAATACACAGCAAAGGTTCCAAAGCGGAGTGTTAAACCTCAAACAGCTGTGTCTCTTCATAATATGTATAGCGCCTGCAATACAGCTATGCCCCATCTATTCCCAACCCATAAATGACTTTTGATACACACAGCAAATAGCACAGGCTGCCGTTTTGAAAATGTTCTCTCCCTTTCATTTAAAGGACCTATATCATGCAAAATCAAGTTTTGGTAAGCTTTTAAATATGTTGCAATGCTATTCATTAATCAAAATCATGTACAAAGTGGTATTATGTTTGATGTATGTTTGAGTAATCCTCATGAATTCTGCTCTCACAGCACCAGTCCTAAAATTATCTGTAAATAACAAGTAATCGTTATGGTCTTTTGCAGGAAAGTGTTAACCTGTCCCCTCTAGGAAACACCTACTGTGACAATGCTCTGCCTACACTGTAAACAAACAACCACTTTTTTCCAGTTGAGAAGGGCTGAATCTGAATCTGAAGAGGGACAGCAGATGTTATTTTCTTATCAATGTCCAAGTCGTGAAAATCTGTTGTTTAGCTTCGAGAGGTCTTGGACTTTGTTCAGCCTTCAGAATTGATGTAACACAGCAACTTCCAAAAATGGATGGCACCCAAACGGGGAGAGACATTTTTATTTGAAATGAAGAGTTTTTTTTCCCGGGTTGGTATAAAATAACAAAAACAATAACAAAATAATACTCCGTAGGTGGTAATGGCATTATTTTATCATATATGCCTATAGTCTACTATATGCCTAGAGATCCAAATATGTCCTTTTTTAAACTAATTCAAAACCTTTCGCATTTTCCTTCTGACACATTAACTTTGAGAAAATACCTCCACATTATTGCCTAATACATTTAGAACCAGATATGTGTACACACAAACCATATTTTACACTGATATCAAAATAATGTAATGAAAATTAAAGTGTTTCTCTTTAAGAAAATTGTTACATTGGAAACAAAAAAGAAGATACTTAGAGGCTAAACCATCTTCACTATGAGGAAGAGCGACAGCATTATGTTTTGGGTGATTTACTGCAGGATGCACTTGTATACCTTACAACCCAAACAGAATCATGTCTTTAATCATGAATTATTAAAAGAAATGCCTTAATATGGCTGAGAAGTTAAATGTATTGTTCCAAACTGCCTGATCTAAAAATCTTGTTTTATTTAATCTCAGATAAGGATGAAAATGGATGTGTGTTTTTAACATGCATTTTGTGTAGACTGTATCAGAGAATACACTAAATAACAGGTACCATGACAAGGGGAAAATCTTTCAGGTTCATATCATCTGTTGGTGGTCATAATGTTATCCCTGATTAGTGCACTACTTTGCTATACTTTTTGCAGTCACTGCAAAGATTTTATTTTCTCTGGTTTAATAACGATATTGTAAACATACAGCCAGACATTCAGCACCATGACAATATACAAACAACTCATTTAAGGCATGAAATAATGAAAAAAAAAAAAAAAAACGTTTTCAGAAATGTTTTCATCACTGAGAACACCTGTGCAGGTAGATATTTGTGTGCTTTCACAGAGAGTGACTATATGTACGTAAGTGTGCACTGAGTGTTTGTCTGTGTGTGTGGGGCTTTGCTTTTGTGTTTTCAACTGTGCATATATACATGCACATGCAGATAAAAGTGCACAGAGGAGCAATACTGATTTGTATGCCATTGCAGATATTTAACCCTTACATTACATGAAGGGATCACACTAGCAATCAGAGTGGTTATGTGAAGGTTTGTTATAGCATTTGCCTAGTGGCAGTAAGAGGTGGATTTGCAAGGGCATATGTAAGGAGAGCAAAAAGCAAGCTCTCATAAGAGATTAAAACTCTCCTGGTTCCCAATCTTATGAAAAACTGGAGAGTAAAAGTTTTTTATGACCTTTGTAAACTATATCCTGCTCATTTGTCCTACAAACTACTCACAAATATACAAGCAATCCATCTCAATCAGTTTCTTACTTAAGATACATTATTTTGAACCTGCACAATGTTCTCTAATGCACAGCTGGTCTTTAAAGACCCAGCTTCATTCTCTCACTGCTTCGGTGAGACATCGATCAGTGCCATCACTAGCCTCCACCCGTGACTTACGGCCTTTTCTCTGGCCTCCCCCCTCAACCCAAGAGTTATGAATCACAGTCCCCCCACTGGGAGCTGGGTCCACCTGCAGAAGTGATACTACCCTTTTCTTTACACGTGTCTTGAGGGCACGCCGCAGTTTCTGCCTTGTGAAAGCATAGAGCAGAGGGTGAAAAATGGTCGTCCCATAAGCCATGGCCAAAAAGCACAAACGCAGCTCAACCAGGCCGTCACTGGGACCCATGCAAAGGATCAGTACGTTTACTGCAGACAGAGGGGCCCAACAGCCCAGGAAGGTAGATATAATGATTAAAGACATCTTCAGGACGCGACGCTGCCGTTCGCGTCTGTCCCTGTGCCTGCGCACTGCCCTTCTCAAAGCAATGATAGCTGAAACTGAAGCCTGCACACCAACAGATGAAGCGGGCAAAGGTGTGGAGGCATGGGTTCGAACTGGAGCTGAAGGTGGAGTTGGAGAAGCTGGGGTGGTTGCAATAGGGGTGGTTGCTGCAGTGCTGACAGTAGTTACTGTAGCCCCACTATCAGACATCCCAGGGGGCATTGAAAGTACTGATGGAGGTGATGTTGGAGTTGGGGCACCAGAGGGGGTATGGGACGGGTTACTGGGGTTTTGATTTTGGTTGGACACTGCTTCTGTTGGCAGGCTTAGTTCTCTCCTCCTCTTCCTTCTGCAACGTATCCTGCAGGTGGAGTCCTTTGACCGTGTGTTCCTCATCATATGGGAACCTATGCGGATGTTGAGGGCCTGCAGGATCCTGGAGTAGGTGAACAGCATGACTGCAACAGCTATAAAGAAACAAGGTACTTGGAGTAACAAGTGATAATACATTGCCATACCAGTGTAATACCCCTGTCCTCCAACACATAACAATGTCCTGTTTTGCCATACAGGTGGCATGGAGTGTGAGGAAGAGGAGGGAATGGTGGAGGGCAATAAAGAAGGAGAGAAGGATGAAAAAATGGGGGTATGTTCAGTAGTGAGCTCTAAGTCATTATTCTTCCTATCCAGCTCTTCATCCTCAGTATCCTTAGCCAATGAAGAGAAGAAGTCCCCTTCAAGGAAGGGCAGGAAGAAAACAGCCAGAGAGATGGCCCAAACTGCTGCTAGGAGCAATGCAGCACGCCTAGGGGTCAGCAAACGACTGGCTGGACGTACCGAGATGTCATATCTGTCCAAACTGATCACCAATACATTAACTGCTGTAGCCACACTTGTGAATGTGACACAAGCTTCATGGAAGCAGCAAAGTGTAGCCAAGCTG